ACCCAATCTCCCCCTAAATTCCCCTGTCTAAGACGGAATTTTTTTCTGGCTCCCTTGCAATTCCGTCTTACACAGGTTCGACGGTAGTTATAATTGAGAACTACATCAATTTCAAAATATTCCCTGGCTGCAGAAGGCTATTTTTGTTCTTAAGGGAACTTTTAGACAGTTATAAATAATACTGGAAATCTATTAGAAAAACTGACAAGGGCATTTTATGTAAAACAACCTGACAACAATATTATATATATTAGAAGATTTTTCCTATCCCTCTTTCTCAGAAAATCAAGATTTATGATCCACCCATTAACACTACTGCCTACTGCAGGAAAGAAATACAAAAATTAATAACAAACATTGCACAGGCCTACAAATCTCACACTCCATGCAACGGCATATTATTTGATTACAACTTTGTTTTCATAATTGTCAGTATGAGGAAAATGACCGTACAGCTGAACCCGCAAAAACAACCACTCCCCACTTTGCATTTTTTTTTGGTATTAAAATAACTGTCCAGGAGGACTACTGTCAAAGATTATCACTTTTGTCCTCTACAATGGGCGGTTGTCTTGGACAGGTTTGATTTTATATGATTTAACGCCTCCATCCACACAACTGAAATCATTGACTAGACTGGACGCGCTAACCCTGCCCGAAAGGACCAACCCAAGGTAAGTGGAATACACATTCTGGCAAACAGAGAGATATAAACTTCCTCGCACTGGAATCGTACACATTTCTCTTACAGATTTGATTGAATAAAGAGAAACACAATAATGGTTATTTAGAAAAGGGAAAAGGCAACATAGACAGAAACTACGGAGGGAAAGAAAAGAAGTAAGACCAACAAGTGGCACCCCCCAACCACCCATATTGTGCATGCAACAGTGAAGAGCGTAACTATTATACCACAACAACCAGTCAAAATAAGTCTAGACTATTCACTAGCACCACATACTAATAACAAAAACATAAACATTTACTTCTATAGTATATCCATATAAAACAGTAAGGGGATGGAAGAGGGAGGCTAGCAGCATTTTTTCTTCTTGCCCCCTCGGGAGGACCCCCCGACTTGTATCGTGTTGTCGCTGGACTTCTGCACTGCCTGCTGCTGTTTTTTCTTCGTGTCCAAGACCAGTCGGGTTATCGCCAAGAACATCTGCCGCAAGGGTAGGAATAAACAAGACAAAACATGGGGGCAAAATTGCAAAGGGGTAAAAGTTGGGAAACAAAACATGGGAAGAAAAGGAGGAGGACGCAAAACTTCAAAAAGATGCAAGAGCATAAAAATACAACCACGGACCACCATTTGAACTATCACAAGAATATGTGTCACTGAAAGACAAAATAGCACCACAAAGTTTTAAAACCATTTTGAAAACTTCTTTGCAAAGTTTCTGTCAATTAGACAAAAATTAGGCATTTATCCTAACTACAGGCAAACCTCATAACACCACCCCCTTTTACTGCCACACCGCCCCGGTTTACCACTAGGTTTTGCCAATGTACGAAAAGGAACGCCTATATAAACATAGTATTTGCGCCGTCATCAAAACTAAAATAAATTTGCCCTGCTGCACCGCCAGCAAACTGGCCGCTAAAGGAACTCACACACAGTGCACAGCACCCATTGGTGGCTGCTAGAGAATTATTTTAAGGCCTTGGCAAATATTTTAAAAAGAAGCTGGAATGATATTTTAAAGTCGGTCGGAGAAACTTCAAAGGAAGTGCACCACCTCAGCCTGTTGGCAAAATATATGGCGTCGCCAGATATCAGCTTGATGACCAAAACTAACCATGCTTTTGTATTATGAGGACTCACATTCAAGTCTATGTTAAGGGTCTGAGTATCAGGGTAAAAAAAATTCAAAACTGTACGTGTCCAGGGTCTTTGACACACATAGTGTCTCTGGCCCGAGCAGTCTACCGCTAGCCTCAACTTCAGGCTCCTCCCTCCTCAGGTAGGCAATATAACAGGTTTGACAGTATAATGACATTTTTATGAAACAATAGAAGTGACAAACTTTACGACCCTCTCTGAGACACTAGATCTTTTCATACTGACACTAACAGCCCTTCTTAATGTAATAGAATCACAAACCAAAATTTCCTAAAAATTTAAATTTGTATTACTGGATTCCATTACTGTTGTCTTCAGAGACGGATCCTATCCTCCTGAGCAGGGCCCATTAAAATTATACGACTTTTACATTATGAGGAACTGTTGCAACTTCGTTGTATTGATTCATATATCTGTGTGGCATCGTGGAAAAACCAGGCACTCATCAAAATAATGAAATCAAAGTAAAGGAGCATGTGCCTATCTATAGGGCAATTTTTATAGTTCTTTTGTTTGTATAAGGGGTGGGGTGGGGGTTGTATTAAAAACACACTTCTGCATGGATTTTACTGGAAAACATTGATCAAAGACACAAAACACCCCCCAAAACAAAACAACTAAATTTTTTTTTAAATTTCAGTTTCAAAGAACACTCATGTTTTGGTGGTCACCAAACTTTGGTGGCCAGTTGCTCGCTTATTTTATCTCTGACATCAAGTGACTCCCTGTCTCTTTCAATTACAAATATCTCCACTTCTCTTCACAATATATGGGTATTTATGTCATCAATAACAAGACGAATGAAAAAGCTTCAAGATGATATCAGTAACTTTATAAGCCAAAAAAATTTACAAGTGCCTAATTCAATCGTATCACTAGATTTGTTTTATATCTTTCTTGCCTACTTGTTGAGGTATGTGTTGATGAAGGTTGACAAAACATTTGACAGAAAGCATTTGAAACATAAGCTTTGCTAGCAGACAGGTAGATAACACACACCATCAACACACTGAAAAGCACTGGCATATGTTCGTAACTACCAAAATTAAATTGATGCACATTTCTTTAACATTAACCCCTCCCCCCAAGTAACAGCAAAGGTATTCTCAATTATAGAAGTATTATTTCAAAGGGTAACAAAACTCGTTCCCCAGAACCATTAAAGACCAGGTATAAAAGCCCTTTGGAATGCCTTGGGAACTTTACAAAACAAGTTCAACCAATAATCAAACGGCTACTATGTTTCCCATTCTTAATTACCGTAAAGACGAAACATTTACACAAAACGCACAATAAAATAAACACCAATATCATAACTACAAAAAACTGAAAAGATAACAATCATGCAAAAAAAATAAATTAAAAAAATATGGTCCGAAGCACCCACCAGGAATCGACTACAACTCATGAAGAGTCGCCAAACATGAGGGGAGAACATTTTTTAAAAACTGGAGATGATCAGTTGTGGAACATACAAACCCTGTGCAATATATATTTAAAATTTAAATAAAATTTGTGAACCCTTTTACCACCAAAATTAACTGTGCCATAGAAATGAAAAGTCCAGAGACCCAGAGGCAACCCTCGAGTGGACCCACCACAGCAAGGTCATCGTGCTCTTATAGAGATGGCATACAAAGCACATGTTTGGAGTGCTATTGAGATTTCAGTGAGGTAATTCTGGGCAACAAAAATAAGAAAAAGGTTTGGATGTGGGTGAAAAAAAAAGTAATTCTTAAAATTGGGGGAAGGATGGTGGGTGGAGGGTTGGCTAGATACAACTGATGGCTAAATGAGGAATATCAGCAAGCAAATAAATTCTCCTAATCATAAACAGCCACGCATTTCATTATGAACATAAGGGCTTGAACAATGAACCATAATTAACCAAATGTGTACCAGCTTCCATATTTTCAACAACAAAAAGCAATATTTTTTTCCTACATACCTCCTCCACATTTTTGTTTTCCTTGGCACTGGTCTCAAACAACTGAATCTGCATCCGCTCTGCAAATCTCTCGGCGTCTTGTGTGAGTACAACTTTCCTGTCTGGATCATCATCTTTGTTGCCAACTAAAGGAACATTAAAAAATGTATTGTTTAATAAAAATCACCAAAACACACTATTATCTAAAAGCGACACAGTGTCAAACATCTACCTCCTGTCCTTTCTCACATTACAATACCATCATTATGGAGGTAATCTGATAAAGGAAAAGATATTGTTGTCATCTATCCACTGCACTGTCACTCCTCTGCTAGGTGCCATACGGTTAAAGAAAAGTGCACTTCAGCACCCCGTTTCTCTATTCCATTCAAAGAAATGGAAATAGTCAATCAATGGAGATCAAAGAAATTGCTCTCCTGTGTTGTAGCTGATCAGAAGGTGAAGGTTGATTGTTTCATGACAGAAGCTGCTAAATGGTCAGAAAAAGGGATACCCCCGGGGCAGTGCCACTGACTGAAGTGTCTTTAGGCCATTCCCAAAGGGGGGACATATCTCGTTCAAGCATAGTAGAATTGTAAATGGGCTGACTCATGTCTCGCTCATAACTGTCCCTGATCTACAACAGGGAACTGCTGCTTTTTCTTTCCTGATCCTTACTATGGACATTTTCCTCTACTTCTTTTGTATGTTTGTCACTCCCTTGTGACCTGCAATTTTTGGGGTGCCTTGATTGTCGAAGCAGACCTTACAATACACTTAAAATTTATCAGAAAAAGCCACTTGCTTCCTACCTGATCACAATATATACATATATTGTCGGCAAGATGTACACCTGCTCAAAGTCCAAAAGAGAAAAACTTTCAGTAGAGAGACAAAAACTGTTTCACTCTTTTAAAATATTGTATTCACATAATGTACCATTTTCAGCTTTTTTTATCTTCAACATTTAGAAATTGAATTTTTCACAAAGTATTTCTCAAGCACATGTTAACGATATATATTTAGAATTTGGGGCTCAATACATCTGAAGAGCTGATTGATGATGTATTGTCAAATTAAAACAACTCACCAAGTATTCTGTTGACAACATCACAGTTTTGGTCAATTTCATGCAACCATCTTTGAACATTGGCAAAAGATTCACCACTAGTCACATCATATACAACCAGGACCCCATGAGTCCCTCTGTAATACCTGTAAGATGGAAGCAAAAGCCTTGCCAGAGTTAGATAGCATATACTTAAAATCAACAAGTTCCTTTTTAAAAATTTTTATTTTGTTGTGGGGGGGGGGGGGGGGGGGTGTTTAAAGGTGGGCTTTAGATTTTTAAATTGTTCTTTTTTTTAGGTGGGGAGGGGGGGGGGGGGTTGTAATCCTATCTGCGTGTTTCTGAAGCCCAAAGCATAAAAAAGAGCAACTAGTCATACTCATAAAGAAAAGCGATGCACTGTTCCCTTACTAATTTACACTTTTGTTGACCTATACAACTACAACGCATCCTGTATGATTCATCAGACTTTAAAATGTCCATTGAAGAGCATAAGAAATATCATTCACATTTCAACTACATACGACAGCTCAAAACTCCAACTCATCAGCAGGGAATAAGTTTTTTTCATCATAACTAAGTAAGATAAAATAATACATGAAGAATAAAAATTAGAACCACTGAATAATACACTTTATTTAAGGCGAGGTCATTTAATTTCGTCAAACAGTCACAGATCTAAATCTGCCATAGGAATGACTCAGACAGGAGTAACGGACTTCATGGATTAAGCTCGCAGTAACACAAAAGACCTTTAAATTTATTTTAGGTCTCAGGTAAGGAGATGATAATAAAACCAACAAAATGGGTAATTTCATTCTGTTTTTAAAATGTAAGCAAGCCGAATACAACTATTTTCTTATAAGAAGCGGTTTTTGTCCAGAAAGCTAGTTTTAAATTGTTTCTGCTTCAAACCACCATTCAATATGTATTTGTTATGAATCTAACCAAAAAAACAACTAATTCTACTACAGGCAAAACATTGAAGCATAATGATATGACTAGGAATAATCAAGGACCTAACCACAGACAAATTTTTGCCTCATATGAGGGAAGTCACCTGACTCGAGGAAAAAACTTGATTGGTGCAAAGAGGATATGTCGCATTCTGCCAAGAAAGGTAGACCACTTTGATTGCATTTTGTAAAGCACTGTTACTGACAACAATTTCAGCCAAACTTTGAATATGGCCAGTGGCCTATTTTGTCACGAGAACTATTAAAATCTACAATAACAATTTTAAAATACATGGGTCTCAACTCAGAATTCTAAAATAAGGAGGAACTTTCCGGGTGATCGCCACAGAAGCCCATTTTCGCGAAACACCTATTATTATTATACTGTTGAACCCTAGAATGCAGAAATAAAAACCATCAATTTATCAAAGCAAGGTTATTTCACACCAATTTTAGGGTTTGGGAGACAATTCCAAGTAAGAGTCACGTACAAAATATTTACAATCTTAATTAAGTACAGAAAGTGGTGGTGCCTGGGATCTTGTGCGACTTATTAATATTGTCCCTTCATCACATCCGCCTGTTTACATAAACTATATAAAAATGAATCTTGTTATGAGCCTAGAAATAGAACATCGACTGTCATGATAATTCATATCATATATATAGGCCTATATAATAAACGTGAAAGACAAAAATTAATGCTCAAACTCAAAGTACAGTAGAATAGCCCAAGTAGACCTATTCAGTGTGAGAGGTGTAAGAACTGTGGGAGGGCAAGAAGCAGTGTTACTGAAAATCTGCGAATCATTAACAGAAAGCTAAAATACAAAGATCTAATTTACTATCACCAATCCAATGAAACGTGAACACTTAGGCCCTTAAGTTCCATAACACAATTACAAGTTATGACGGTTCCCGTTTTCACACAAGGCCTGCACCAACGCACACTTTACTTTGCAGAGAGCTGCAGTAGTAATAAAAATTCTAAACATTAAACATATTTGCTTCCAGTTTCAGTTTTTTTGTCCTCCTGTGTTGCGTCCAGCCTTCCCCCTATCCCCAAGTGCGTCTTTAAAAAAAATCAATAATCTCCCCCCCATTCCTGAGTCCTGTACTTCGAAGCGCTCAGAAAGCGCGTGGGTTCATTGACCGGTCACAATGGCGAGCCTGACAAGACGCTTGTATAACTTTCTTTTCTTTTTGTTGCCCCCATAAGTGATGGCACAGTGACAAATACTTATTTATTTATTTTCATGGTGACACCACGATGGTAATGCTGAACCTGCCTGTTACAATAATTGTTGCGTTATCAGACAATCTGACAAATTTCTGGGTCGTAAAGAAAGCGGAAGTAGATCTTGATTTTCCAGTCGAACCTTGGTGACACAATTCCGCTTGCTGCCAAAAACCGCCAGTTCGCGTGAAACGTACTCTCAGAGCCGAATTAATATCACAATCGCGACCGGCAGAAATGAACAAAAAGACATTGGATTTGGTTTTCAAATATTGGAGATCTTTTATGTATTTATTATTTTTATAGTAGAGGGTTTTACGTCGCCACTTTTATGTATTTTCCCGGGTCTCGGGGATTAAAAAAAAATTCCCAGGGCCTGGCAGTCACCCAGCTCCCAACACCTCTCTTTCTGATTGGCCCGCTGTCGCAGTAGCGGAGTTTAGCGGATGAAATGGCTGTAGCGGAAATCCGCTAAATAGCGGACTGTTGAGACCCATGAAAACAGTAATTCTTCCTAAAAGTTGACCCCAAAAGAAACAACTTCAAAGGTATCTTTTCAACTTACGTTGATGTGATTGTTCTGAATCTCTCTTGTCCAGCAGTGTCCCAGATCTGTAACTTGACCCGTTCTCCATTCACATCAATAGTCCTAATTTTGAAATCTACACCAATAGTCGTTATGTATGTCCCTGAAATAAAAATGTAAAAAAGCATCACAATAGTTCCAATTCTGTACTTAGTGAACAGCAGCCACAAAAAAAGGAAATATTTTTCATAACACTCATGACAGGCAAAGGCTGACATTACAAAACTAACACTGCCACTGTCCTTTACTTCATTAAAAAAACACAAAACAAAGGTCATCCTGGGCTGTGGTAATAGGAAGGCACCAATTCTATACATGAACTTTGAGACAAGAGTCCTAAATTCGGGAAAAGAGTTCAAACATTGAGCATTGTCATCAGTATTTACATCCAGCAATGACAACTACTCCCTCTACTCTAACCATGCAGTAATCTAAAACAATTTATATTTATATATTATATATATGTGTGTATTACATTTTACAAGAGAGGAAGAAAAGTAGGGATGTTTACCGGAAAATACATTGTCTGCAAATCGTAACAGCAAGCTGCTCTTGCCAACTCCTGAAAGAAACAAATGCAGATATATAGACAAGTTATCTTTTGAACAATACATTTGCTTTACATCACCAAACACACAAAGTAAAAAAACAAAACCATAAGCAATAAAATGATTTCAACGCCATTCTAAAAAAATGAACAAAAGGGGGCCATATTTAAAAGAAAATGAAAAGTTAAAAAGCACATAAGGTCTGATGAAGCCATTTGTACATATTGATCTTACAATATTGTAAAGGTATAACAATCATTAAGAAATTAATTTTACAAAGAAAGGCACTTCATGCAGTCTGGCTGAATCTAACCAGACCTTGACCATCCCAACAACAACAACAAAAAAATAGACATAGAAAAATCAAAACTTGTAAACATTCATTCCGTACAAAAAAGGAATGATTCACCTTCCAAGTTTATGAAAACATTTATCTACCTAGCATTAGTAATAATGCAATATATAATTATATATGGAGGGGGCTCTCGCGGCCTAGAGGTTAAAGTGTTCGCCTCTCATTCAATCAAAGGTCCCGGGTTCGAAACTGGGTAGCCCCACCAAACAATTTTCTTTTCTAAAAATTGTCTCTTTTCACCTTCTTTCCTTCTCTCTTGCAATGTTCTGTCCTCTGCTTTCGTCTCCACTTTCTTCCCTCACCCCCTCACCCACTTTGTCCCCTCCACTGGGCCCCTGACTCTTTCTGCAGCCTTTCTACTGCTACTACTTGGCTCCTTCTTACTGCTGTCTTTCAGCCACACCCCTGATCTGGTAGGAAAGATCAACACCTAGCCTTCTCGGACAAGGGCGAAAAAATCTCAGAGTTCCTGTGTGCACTTTGCTGGTGGTATAACATCAGAGTAGGCTTCGGCCGCCACCCAGTCAAAATTCAAAATTTTCAATTGAAAACATTAGGTGTGTCCCGCAAGCTAATACGACCTCACGCAGTTGCGAGCGCCATAAAACACTTACCAAAAAAAAAAAAAAATAAAAAATAAAATATGAAATCAGGCGCTCGTCAAAATAATGAAATCTGAGAAATCGGCATTTTTCTGCCAGTTTGGACATTTATTTTTTTTTCTCCACGAATTTTTGGTTCAACACCTTGAATGTCCATTCAAAAATACTTTTATTTGTGGATTTTTTCGAAAAACATTGATTTAAGGCACAAAAAATGTAAATTTGCAGTTACCGAGGACTCTTTAACTTTGTTTTTTTTCTCTTTTGGTAAAGTGTTTTACGGCGCTCGCAACTGCATAGGTCATATGAGCGTGCGGGACACACCTAATATTTTCAGTTGGTAGGAATTTTTTAAATTCTGCCCGGGTGGCGGCCGAAGCCTACTCTTATCGATTTTAGACCACCAAGGGATCTTTAACGTGTGCAACTTGCACACGGGCCCTCCGAGATTTTTCGCCCTTGTCCGAGAAGGCTAGGTGTAGATCTTCCTACCAGAAGATCAGGGGTGTGGCAGAAAGACAGCAGTAAGGAGGATCCAAGGAGTAGCAGTAGAAAGGCTGCAGAAAGGGTCAGGAGCCCAGAGGAGGGGGGCAAAGGAGGTGAGGGGGTGGGGGCAGAAAGTGGAAATGAAAGCAGACAACAGAACATTGCTAGAGAGCAGGAAAGGAGGTGAAAGGAGACAATTTTAGAGAAGAAAATTTATCGGTCGCTACCCGGATTCGAACCCGGGACCTTTGAATGAGAGGCCAACACCTTAACCTCTAGGCCACGAGAGCCCCCCTCTTTAACTTTAAGCTATGGAAGTCACCAAATTTTGGCGGCCATTTTCTCGCCAATTTTACTTATGAAACCAGGTGATCCCACCTCCTTCAATCGCAAATATCTCTAATTCAATTCAAGATGAAAGAATATTTTTACATCGAAAGCAAGGCAAATGAATAACCCTTAAGACAATACCAATAACTCTAAATGCCCAAAAATTGACGAGCGCCTGATTCCACTGTGTCGTGACACACATATTTATAAAACCTTGTACTACTAGTAATGTAAAATTTATACAACCCCCCCCCCCCCCCCCCCCTGTTCTTACTCAGTCATTTACTATTTACGCACAAAATTCTAGATCACTAGCAGATTACAATTAAACCCTCTGACCTTAAAAAAAAATGTTAGTGTTTTTATGCCCCAATTGACACAATTTTTGTAATTTACGAAGCAGGCTTCCAACCCAGGCTGTCAGGGCCAACATGGGCTGAGATAGATAGAATATCTGAGCAGTAAATACCAAGATACTGGGTAAAAATTTCTCCCCACTCAGGAACAGAACTCTGGTCTCCTGAGTGCGACATCTAAGCGCCTAATTGTATCACCACAGACACCGGTACCACACTGAAGTTTCCTTGAGAAACTCTAAAAGATGTTTGCTCTGATCTCCAAGCCCGTCAGTACTAAAACAATAACTTTGTTGAAAGTTACTAGTTTCCTATCTCTTTTTTCCTTTCAAGAACATAATAAGCTCATAATATATATATATATCATACTATAATAAAAGGTGGGACCAAAGTTCTGCCCACAAAAACTTTTTCGTGACAATATCAATTGTTTTGGAAAAATACACATTACACAAACGTTAGCCAATTGTCCTGCGTGGGGCTATTTTAGCTAGTGAACTAGAGAGTGTCCGTCTTTCTTTAGTCCCAAAAGACAACGCAGCAAACAAGAAGCACAAGGTAAACCACCTAGCTTACACTATTTCTCCGTTCCTAGAACGGGTACTTTGCTAGTACATATATATACTTTGATATATTTATTATATATGTTTGGCAACTTGGAAACACATGTGTGTCACTTTTCCCATAAAACTATGACAGCTAGAGAGTTGAAAGTTGGCAAGTACCTGCAAAAAGATAGATACGTCCCTATGACGGAGCTTGACTTTTTATTTATTCATTTCCCGAATTTAGAACAATATATTTGACAAGTTCCATTCCTTCTTTGGCCTTTGTGATTATTCCACTGAGAAACAAGTCAGCGTTGCTCTCCTTCTCAATGGAAGTTTATTACCGCTCGATAACGTTCGCCTAAGAAATATGATTCAAAAGACGGGGTAAGTAATTTTCGAGACTCACATACGTGGTGACGTGATCCTGTGTATGCATTCAAAAAGTTGTTTTTAATATAAGGCCCAAAGAGAAAAACTTTTTTATTACTGGGTCAAGATTTAAAAAAAATATTTTTGTTAGGTTGCTAGCCTGTAGAAGTGCCATGCAAAGTTTCGTGGGCATAGAGGTACATTTGTCAATGAGCTAGATTTTTAAAAAACGCTGTCAGAGGAAAGTGAACAAGCTAGAGACACTGCCTCTGTGATTTTGAAGACGTCGGTGTGTTCCTTTTACAGTGTAGCAGCCCTTTTGTGGATTATTATTTTCTTCTAAAGCGCTTTTTTGTGATGGTGTAAGGCGATACCCGCGTTTTGTGACCGTGAAGGGCTAGACAGCAATACACTAAAGCAATGTAGATCAAGAGAGGAGTTAATCAAGGCAGACCTATTCTAAAGCAATATATATATAGATCTAGAAGCCAGGTGTGACTGTGAAAGGCTAGACAGCAATGTAGATGTAAAAAGCCTCCGCGGTGAAGACCAGTAGGAGCAATGATGCCAAGGCGTCGACAGCGAGCAAAGCTGGGTACATATCTATATTAAAGTCACATTCTATTCATTTAATAAACATTTCACAAGAGGCCAATTGACCTTGTGGTCCAAATGCCATGAAAACCAAAAATAGGGAATTACCAATAAAACTGAAAATACCACAAATAAACAGCTTTCTAGTTGCAGGTATATGCAAGCTTTCCGCATAGTCAAAATTGTCTAAGAAGACTGCCCATTGGGGAGGAGAAAAGCAGTTGTATTTGTATTTGTAGACAAGTGGACATCTTGTAATTTGTCATTATAAAATGAAAAAGAAAAACCACAAGAGGGAATGGGGGTCACTATTTGAAGGTGGCCTTCACAGCAGATTCAACTGTAAAAGCACTAATCTTGGCAAGAGTTCACAAAACCCTGGAATCATAATCAAAGCACGCATCATTCTGATGTAATCATTTCATCTCTATTTTTGCAATCCCCTTTCAATCAGTTTTGGCAGAAAGTGGATCAGTACTTAACTCTTGTCCTGCGTCTTGTCAGTGTCTACTGTTTGAGTACAGTGAGTGGAACTGGAAACGTATGTTTTCGCCATGAATACTGTGAAAATGTGTTAATCATTGAATATACCATCTCGGCCTTTAAGATCGGCGCCGAAAGACTTTTCAGACCCGTCCAAAGAAAAAGTCAGAGACTCGGAGGGAGAGCTTTTCAACACCACGCCCCCTCCTTGTGGAACGCGTTACCAGCTCATCTACGGGAGTCCACCACTTTATCAAAATTTAAATCAGCACTTAAAACGCATTTGTTTCAGTCCAGCTTCAATCTGTAATTTCCGACATTCCCAATACAAATATTATTATGTTCTCTCAGTATCGTTTATTCATGCTGTTTTGTTCTGTGAGAATTTATGACTGTGTGAATTCATCAATGAGTGCGATGGTGTCTGGGTAAGCTTTGTGGGATTGTCTTTACTCAAGGATGTACTAGAGAGAGAGAGAGAGAGAGAGAGAGAGAGAGAGAGAGAGAGAGAGAGAGAGAGAGAGAGAGAGAGAGAGAGAGAGAGAGAGAGACAGAGTGAGACTAGTGAGAGAGAGAGAGAGAGAGAAGGAGGATTACTATAGGAGCTGTGCGCTTCATATGTTCTTTGTATTATTGTACACCGCATTGAGCACTTTTATGCGGAAATGCGCCTATATAAATGCAATTTATTATTTATCGATGATGAAAATAACACTTTATCTTTTATAGCCTTCTATTTATAAAGTGTTACGAACACATGAATAACCCCCTCTCATAAGCTGATAAGAGTAGCAATGCCCATTCCAAAAACCTTTTTAGACACTCATTTTACTAATTTTAGTTACGAATGATCTGGTGTTCGAAAATAAAGATCTTTTCACTTCTGCA